CTGTCTCTATACCCTACCGATAAATGGTGCATACTATCAGTCCCGCCGAGCAAGCGAGTTCGGCCACTTGCTTAGCGGTGTCTATAATGCTTCCCCCATCTATCAGAGGCCTTAGAGACTATTGTTGGGTGGGAAACGTCATGGAATTTGTCTCAGTGATCCCCTTTGGGGATATGAGGTTCTTTTACATGCTGTAAAGTTACGACACGGGACACACAGCTTAAAGTCCCTCCCGGAGGACTTGTTCCCTGAATTTTTCCGCCCTTAAAAATTCGACGACCTCCACCAGGTATTTGAACCTGTGTACCACGAGTCATGAGGTGGGAACGTTACCTCTAGACTACGGAGGCTGCTACAGCCACAGGTAACGATAACAATTTAAGTGGTCTACACACTCTCCAAATCATTAATCCAGACTTCAAAGCCTATGTGTCTTCACCAGGTGTTGCTAGGTAACGGCTGCAATAATGGGTATTCCTCTGCTTCCATGCTCATGTCATTGCTGGCTGGCTACCATCTCACAACTACTGTCAGTCAGAGTCAGATTTACTGTATGACTGGCGGTTTGCCTCCAATCAGTTCGACTTGGCCTCAAATCTCTTGTTTCTGCAACTGGACCTTTACAGTCATATTCCTTGTGTAATATCCTCTCTGACAAGATGATGGGTTTGTATCTCATGAATATGCTCGATCTCTGTCAAGTGTACATATTGCATACACAGCTTCCAACAGTTACTCTAATGTTGCATGACATTTTATGGTGTGTTATTGCCTAGTAATGGACTGCATGTTTGTTGATGTGGATGAGTGTTTACCGGCATAGCTAAGGCCTCCTCTTCTATCTTCGGTATCCTGGCTTTCAGACATTACTTCAAATTGCCCCTTCCTTAAGGCTACTCACCCAAAGTAGCCTACAGGCTGTTTCTTCTGCACAGGTATTGTAATGCTGACACCAGATTCCATCATCATTTCTTGCTTTGACCCAGTAATACCTTTGTCTGAATTATCCAAGGTCTTATTGACACACAGGTGTCCTCCTGATGGTCCACCATGGAGTTTGGCCATCATGTCTCACTTTACTCTGAAGGAGGACTTATCTGAGCTATTGCAGATCATGTGTTGGAGGACTCCAGTGGCGCTGCACTGTGCCATCCCTTACTGCAAGGGACTTTCCAATAGGTCCAATATCGCTTGTTCGTGGGGCTATGGTCAGACATTATTTAGTCTTTATTTCTTCTAGAATTGCTGGGTCACTCAACTTTTCCCTCTGAATTGTGGCTGGTTTCCAGCTGTTTGAGGCTATGGCCGCATTGGCTCACACCTGCTTCAGTTCTGCCCATGCCTCTATTTTTGGACAATGAGTACGCTCTTCTTAGCATGGTGTTCGGGAAGGGTGTCAGCATTGCTGTGTTTCCAACCCTGGTGGTGCTTGGAAGTGAAGTTGTATCCTTGGAGATTCTGCATCCAGCAGACCATTTTTCCACTGATTTTCTTATGCCATGTTAGTGCGGAGTGGTTGGTACACAAGCGTAACTGTAAAGGTACTTATGGAAATGTTCTAGCATCCTCACGGTGGCTAGTAATTCCCGGCAGGTGATGCATTGATTTCTCTCTGCCTTGTTCAGCTTCTTTCTGTAGTAGGTTATTACCTGATCGACAAGCAAGTGTGTCGACAGTCATTCATGGGCTGGAATTGGCAGTTAGCCATCAGACTTAAGTTGTATTGTTAGCAGCCACTGCCTGGCCCTAGCTACGACCAGTGACCAAACGGAAGACTTTATGTATGCTGTAGTTGTGGTACTCTATAGAGTGTAAATGAGTGAGACTGTTACACTTATTTGTAGTTACGAGTTACAAGCATTGATTAAATCCAATCATTAAGCCAAACTCTGTGTCTAGTCACAAATGTGACATTATCAGTACTTGAAAACAGCATGTCATTGTTTTTTTTTTTAAATTCGCTTAGTGGGGGGTGAAGTCCAGCGGGGTCTACTAAGCACAGCGGCCACTGGTTGGCCTATTGTACCTGCCCTGGGTGATTATGATGATGGAGAATTTGGTGGAATGAAGATTGGCAGGGGAAACCGAAGTACTCAGGAAAACCTGCCCCAGCACCACTTTGTCCACCACAAATCCCACTTGACCAGACCTGGGATCGAACCCAGTCTGCTGCGGTGGGAAACCAACACGTAACCGCTTCAGCTATGGCGTGGCCATGTCATTGTTTCATGTACTCGTATGTGTCAATGTATCTAGAAAGGTTGAAGTGCTCTTCAGGGTATGCTGAGCTAGAGAACTTCAACTAATAACAATAGTAGAGGCTGATTACAATCTTACAGTACCAGCATGCTTGTGCCACTTGCTTAAATCTTGGCATATGAGAGGAAGTGGGGAGGGGGAGGGTGGACAGATGTAGTGAGTGGACATACTGGGACAAATGGTAGCCAACAATACAGAATGATCTTCATTCTCTAACTGCTCATAACCAACTAAACTGACTCTCCTCTGGTACAGGCAATGAATAAGTTGAAGTAGGAGGACCTTAATCCAATCTTCACACAGATGATCTAAGATTACAATAAAGCTATAATGATGTTTACTCTACAGGGCCAGATAGGCAGCCCTGGAGCAACTGGACTCATTGGTTTGCCTGGTGTGAAGGGAGATAAAGGAGAAAGTGGAGAGCAGGGACCCATAGGACCCAGGGGCTTACCAGGATCCATGGTAAGTGTATTATCCTGTTACACATGTGTAGAAGAACAGGCTTTTCTCTTAGACCATTCAATGATGCAGGACATTTAATCCACAACACATATATAAAATGACAGCCTGCAATTTCCTCTGTTATTTCATACCAGAAGAATACTTCGCATGAAAAACAACAGTTCAAAATAACTTAAATTTACCACTGCACTAGGTGTGCTGTGTACCTTGGATGTCATTGAAGGTATCATGCCTAGCATGCTTGAGGTGTTTGATATGGAAAATTGCTACATGCCATTTTACACATTTGTCACTGCATGCTGCTTATAGCTCTGATTCTGTAAGATTCACAGGTATTCTGCTTTACAGTCACCAGACTGAAAGCAATTTTCTCTTTAAATTACAACTCCATAGGGAGTTCAGATGTCCTAGTCCATCTGTGTTAGAATAAATGTTTGAAAAATAAAGTCTACTCACCTGTTCTATCAACAACTTGATGTACCAACAGAATCAGATAAGGAATCGTATAAGTTCATCACTTACTGAAGGTATATGTATAGAGCTGCCTGTTCATTGCTATTGCTGGTTCTCATTTCCAAAGAAATAAAGAGAAAATTATGAAACATGTGCTCTCACCTCCAATTTTCACTGAAAAATAATTGTGTATTTCAATGTTCTGTAGTTTTGTATGGTAACACAGCATACAAAAACCTTCCTTATTGTAACTGTATTTTTTATTCATGTGTGGGTTCCATCTGTATTTTTTTGAGACCACAAATATTCCACAGTTAAGAAGGGGTACAAAATAATACAGGTTCTACACTAACATTCTTCTACATGTTGTGTACTTTGCAGGGTGTTCCTGGTACTCCTGGTTCCCCTGGACCACCTGGTCTCCCAGGTTTTCAAGGCCTTGCTGGTCCACCTGGTCCCCCAGGCCCTCCTGGACCTCCTGGCGCTGATAGCAGTTATATCCCCAACACAATCACGGCACTGGATGGAAATGGATTGCCTGGTGCAACAGGACCAAGAGGGCCACCTGGACCCCCTGGACTGGTATGTGCCTCTGTAATCCATAAAGTGGACACTTAACCAGAATTAATGTCTGGCTCAGGATAGGGACCAGTGGAGGGCTCTTGTGAACATGGTGATGAACCTTCGGGTTCCATAAAATGCTGTGAAATTCTTGAGTAGCTGCAGAATTGGTGGCTCCTCCGGAAGGGCTCAGCTCCATGAGTAAGTAAGTAAGTAAGTAAGTAAGTGACATCATGCACACGTTGCGTAACACATAGCTGCTCTTTAGTTTCCTCTTCCTCTCTGACTTATACCCACATACTAAAGTTAACTGCTACTTTGCAGTGTGCCACATTAATAAGATATTACATATGGTCCTGCTTGTATCTTTCACTTTGTGCAGTTTCACTATAATGAATTAAATGACAATAAAATACATTTCTCTGAAATCATCCTGTCAACCATAACATTGTTCTGAGTAATAAGTACAACCAAGTATTGGTTTCCCATTTATGTTTTTTCTTAACAACGTTGACATTTTTACAAATATATCCTAGATATGAATCAGAGAATATTTGTACTGACAATGGTAAACATTATTTTTGTCTTTATTAAGCATTTGTTGTTAACTTTCTGTTTATATATACAATATTATATTCCCAATGTTTCTTTTCTGTCATTTTTGCTGATACAGAGAATACACTTTTCCACATAATTCCCATCAGTCTAGATACAAATTTTCATAACCTAAGTAAACTGAATGTTAAAATTTCTGTCTTCTGGGATGTGATGTCATTGAAAGTCAGCCAACGTTTAGAAGGAAAGTATTGCCTCCAAAATATCAGTTGACTTTCAACAGACTACACAGCATTATATCCCACAAGATACCACTGCTGTGAGAATCTAAAATCCTACAAACTGCATATCCATTCATTGCAGCCAGGAGAAAGAGGGGCAGCAGGAGAAAGAGGACCTGAAGGAATGCCAGGTAATATGGGGATTCCTGGTAAAGATGGAGCACCAGGATTGCCAGGTCCACCAGGACAGAGGGGACAATCAGGAATTCATGGTCTTCCAGGGCCACCAGTAAGTTCTGAGATGATAATTGCAGGAACCAATCTTTGAGCACATTATAAGCTTATAGTTTTTCTGTCATATTGTCATTGTCATCATCATTATCATTGTCATGGTCTAGGCCCCATAGTCTGCCTTGCTGAGTATTCATTTCACCGCATTTGTGATCTTCCTGAGTTTCTTCTTCCTGTTTGTTGATATTTCCATGCTATTCTTTGAAGACAGAGCTTTATCGTTCTTTGTAGATGTTCTCTCCATTATTCTCTGTTGCATTATTCATATAAGGATTCTTTAACTTGTGGGATGTCAGTTCTGTTATTTGGAAAGACAACTACATAAATTCCTGATGAATGCTAGCGAAGCTCAGGATGTGTCAGGCTGGCTTGTGTGAACGAGAGCGGTCCTCTGTGTTCAGTAGCTGAGTGACTGTGAGCCGGCCGTAGAGCGGTAATGTTGATGTAGAACTTCCCAGGGGCTGAGGTGACTGCTTTCAAAGTCAGTTGGTGGTGTGGGAACATCACGCATTTCTGCAACGCTCGCTCTTCACATCACTTTTCACCATCACGCGCGCTAACCAATCAGATTGCTTCAAACGATCGCATTTATACTACGCTCGGCGCTAGCCCGCGTCTACACCATTACACGCGCTAGCCAATCAATTCTTCCTCCTCACTTTCAAGTTTTGCTCCACCCCACCGAGCAGTGTATAAAAAGGAGCAGCTTCGAACCGCTAACTTCAGTCCGACTGCAGTCTACGATCAAACCAGCGCTCGGTCTTCGGAGGCATCGGCAGGCCGCGCCAGGCACGACTGCCTCGGCTCTCCGGCTCGCACAACCTGACTCACTGGGGCACCTCGCCTGGACTCGCCGGTGGTCGTGTCTCTGTCCGACTCACTGGGCATCTGGCATAGCCACTGCCTCATGGCTCCTACGACCGCGCTCAACGACTCGCCTTTCACTAGCCATTCACTGTAACTAGCCTTTCTCCTTACCGGCGCGCGCCGCGCTACCTCTCCAATCAAGCATCTCAGCAGCCACAGTCCTTTTCAGGGCCAACAGACTGTTCCGAAGAAGTGGGTTGTCATAGGAGTAATGACAAAGACACACATCCAGAGCCCCACAGTGGCATTGCTGCTAGGAGGGTCCATGTTGCTGTGTGCACTCCAGATTCTGTCAGGAAGTAGCTCACTAGCATGATGTGGTCCACATGTTTTTCCACTGTTGACAGTGGTGCCTGGTCCAGTGGGTGTTGGCACTGCCATGGTCCAGGATTGACTAGTTCTTGCTTCACCTTGCTGGTCAACTAGAAGTTGGTAGTTGACCTGGAGATGCATTGTGGTAGGCTCCCACAAAGTGCTAATTCTTCCCTTATACATCATTTCTAATATGATCAAGCCATTTGTACCCTTTAGCTGCATGCAGGAACTTCATTCCAGGTGACCATACAGTACTTCTGAACTTATGCCTCAATATCCAGTATTTACTCTCACATAATAAGAATGGAATTGACAAAGTCTCGTTAAATTTTAATAGGGCTCTTCTGCTGGCCCTCCCCCCAGTACTTGTCATATCATACAGCATATTGCTTGGTATTTCATCAGTTTTGTTTGTACATGTGCTTCATAATTATAAGACAGATTTCAGCCCAAATAATTGAAGTTTTATACGTGTTTAATACATTACCTTTTATTTTGATCTTACATCCTACCAGGTCCTTCCTTTTGAAGGTCATTACTTACATTTTTCTTGGTGATATTTTGAAGTTATATTCCTATGTTATTTGGTTCAGTTTATGCATTTCATATTATAATTCATTCTCTTTCCTTTTGATAACTGCTCTATAATCAGCAAATAGTACAGTGTAGTGCATTTTTTAATTCCAGTTCCTGTTGGTACCTTTTGGCTTCATTCATCTGTCTTGTCCAAAAAACACTGAATAAATCTGCTGATAGACTGCATCCTTATTGAATATCCTGGTTTGTTTTCATTCTCTTATTGCCAGCTTTGGTCCCTGTGTCTGTGCAGATGAATGTTTTCTTATATAAACTGTTCATAACTTGGACTTTGCCTTGACATTCCATTTCTTGGTAGTATTTCCCAAAATTTTTATCCATGGGCTTGATCAGAAGCTTTCTTGTGGTATGCAAAAACTATATTAATTTCCAAATTATGCTTACACCTTTTATCCACTACCATTTTTAGAGTGAAAACAATCAGTTTGTGATCATCCTTTTCTGAAGCCATTTTTAGCTGTCACTGAATATTGCCTCTATTATGGCACTAAGCTTTTCAGTTATTACTCTTGTATATATTTTGCACCGTGCCGTTCATCTTCTTCTCCTTCTGATTATTATTATGTTATTATTATTACGAAGAGGAAGGGCACAGCGCAATCGTTACTGGCCCTATTGTTGGTTCCCACCCTCCCCTAGATGGACATGGGGTATCCAAGCTAGGAGGACGAAGCTACACTCAGTTCATTGGCTTAGATAAGAACAAAATACAATTTTAAATAAAAAATATATATAACAATACATAAATAACAAATGACACATTTGACCAAGAAAACAAATACAAGCTCATTCAGAACAAAACAATTTCCCGTCGGCACCACTTGTGTCGACACTAGACATATTAGGACGTTAAACACTCAGGCTATACAAACACAAGTCTAATTCTGAAGAATACCAAACCAAATCTAATAACGCGTGTCGCAAGCGTTCAAGCAACGGCTTGCAACCGCGGGCAGTCCTTACCGGCCAGCCAGATAGCACCAAAAGGGAATTTAGAACAAACCCAGCCGAAACCAATATTTTCCACAACAAACCTGCTGGCTAGTAACTTACCTTCCAAGTCGACTTGGTCTACACGACTGCACTGTACAAGTCTCCCCTTCACGAGAGGGTACATGGGACCACGTGACTGATGTCAGGATACTGCATAGTGGGGATGGAATCCGTCAAGGGAAACATGATGACATCATACGTGAGCGAGCTAAACCTTAGAATGGCTCAATTTTGTATCCTGCCATCAGTAAACTTATGTATATTTTGAACAGTCCAATAGATCTTCTTCCACATAGGGTGGCTTTATATTGCAATTATTCATTCATTTGGAATTTCACATTTTGCCTACTACACATTTACAAATTATCCTAGGTGTTTAACTTGTATTTCCCTTCATGTTCAGTCTGACATGTCCCACATTGTACCCTCATCAGGCAAATAATGTTGTCATTCATGTGAGCTACTTTTATCTAAGGTTTAAGGAACATGTTACACATTAAATTAGATCTTTTACTGAAAGATGGTAATTAAAATGTAGGCACATAAGATTAGAAAATATATGCATCAAACTTAATACTTTTTCATAAAGATTGTTTACTGAATGTGAAACAGGCACTAACCTTGTGGTGACAACATATTACTTTAGAAGCTTTTTCTTTTTCACCAGGGACGCAGCTTTACAGAATCTGAACTCAGGGACATATGCGCAGCAGTTCTTCGAGGTAAAAAATCATCTAACTTTCATCCTAAGTCAGTCTGTTGTATATTCAGAGCTAGTTCTTATCTTCTCAGGCAATCAGCTGTGTCAATATTGAATCAAAAATCAAATGTTTCAGAGATCTCCATCCCCATCAGCAGAGTCAAAGTGGGAATGACTGCATGTCACTGATGTAGTCTGTCAAATTGGTGCCTCTTTCTGTTGGTGTAGGAGGGCAGAATCAAACTGTGTGGTCACCCATCAAAATCCAACATATCACTTTGTAGCTTAACCTAATGTCCCTGTTGTCATTTATTTTGTTTAAATTTAACATGCTCTTCTAAGTGTCATCTTGGGATTTTAATGATGAAGACCTAGATAATAACATGCTAAAAAGAAAATAAAATAATTAATAACATGAGCATAAGATTAAAGAGACATGGTGATAGGTTTCATTTGGTTGGGTGACCACACAATTTGATTCTACCCTACAGCTGCATAGTATACCAACAGAAAGAGGCATCCACTTGACAGACTGATATATATCAGCAACATATGTTCATTCACCACATAGAATGTGATGATGAAATTCACTGAATTCTCTGAAATGTTAGTTATTAATTCCGCAATAATGCAGCTGATCACCCAGGAAGATTTTAGCATATTTATTTGCATAAAATATTAAAATCTTACATAGTTCTCATGAAGCTAATTATTCTTAATAGCTGCCATAGCTGTAAACCATATATAACATTCTTCAGAAGTACATCAACTTAATGATTTGGGAATTTTGCACCAGATTTGTCATGATAGTTAATTTGATCATTAGGGACTGATGATAGAGTTATATATTTCTTTTGTGTTATTATTTTCAACCTTTACTCCATTTCATAATGCAGTTTCACTGCTGTTAAACTTGGCTGAAAAACTATTTTGGTGCATTGTGACAGTATCTTTATGTTAAAATGTATGTTTCCAAGGAAGTACTTGCAAATTAAAGTGTAAGTTACAGATTTAAATGCTCATCAAAGTGTGAGTAAGTACTCTGTGTTTATGAAATCCTGGAATGGCAGCCACTGGACTAAACTGCTGCCAAAATTGAATCTTTGTACACAATAACCATAGCATACAGGGTTTGTTTGGATAGTAATGCAATTTGTTTTTTCCCACCGCTCCTCATGGTCGCAGCGCATTTGGACCAGTTGGGAAAGGGGGAAGGGTCTCTTAGCTTCACAACGCTTCCAAGCTCAGCCTGCTCTGAGCTCTGGGAGCGTCAGGATCGCTATTTCCGTGAACCTCCTGTTAGTGCCTGTGTCACAACGCTCAATGGAGAAAACTATCGAACAATGTTACTCATTCAAGTTCTGTGCTAAACTAAACAAAAGCCTTGCCAACACCCACCAAATGATTCAGGAAGCCTACAGGGACTCTGCTCTCTCATATTCTCAAGTCTCCAGGTGGTTGAAGTTGTTTAAAATTGGCCAAGAAGAGGGGGAGGATGACCCCCTCTCTGGACGGCTGTCAACCAGCAAAAGTGACAAAAATGTGTCTCGGTGCCTACACCCAGAAGACGACTTTCTTAATTACATTACTTTCCCAACAAACCCTGTAGTTTCTTATAATCCCTGTACATAAATATAGCATTCAGTGAAGTGTGTGACATGTATGTGGAGATGAATCCTTTAACTTTAATGAATTAATTGAAAACTAAATTTTAGTATCCAAAATTGAAGTAAAGTGCACATTTAAACTGTGCTGTATAGGAATATGGACAGACACAGAAACCAATCATTCAGAGAAGCGAGAAGCTATTTAGATTTTCATTCTGCCCCTCAATTTACATCTATATGAGCACACTGGATATTAAGTTACTTGGCTTTAGTGTTCAGTAATACAGCCAATAAATTATTTCTTTGCCATGCCAGAGGTAGTGTTTACAGGGATAGGGAGTGAGCAACTATACCATTTTATATGATGAGGAAGATGGTTTGGCCAAAATATTTGTCTCCCATTTTTAAAAGACCCTGAGTTTTTCCTTAATTTTTTAAATTTAAGGGTAATAAATCTTAAAATACACTGTAATTGCATACAAAGAAAGAAATGTAAGAAACTACTGTCATTGATGCATAGATCTGGAACTGATATTTTCATATAGGCCAGGGTGAAAAATTCCTGTCATATATTCCTGTATTTTATCTGATACATAACTGACATGTATTGTTTTCCTAACAGGGAAATGATTAAACATTCCAGGAAGGTCTCCTTTGCAGTGTTATATTGTATGGGATAGATACTCTGATGAAAAAAAGCTTTGCTACTGAGAACAAGAGATGGTAGCTTCAGAAAGTTCGGGGACAGAATGATGTTGTGACAGACAGCCTAGAGCCTTTACACACAGTGGAATTATTCACTCCCCATTAGACTAATAGATATGATGGGTCAAAGAGAGCCCAGTGTGTGGAAAGTTTCAAGTTATGGAATGGATCATCTTGACCAGCAGCATAATACAAAATGTTGCCACTGACTGGAATGGTTGATGAAAGAAATGATGCAGATACTTCATATGGTATGTGGAAAACAGATTATGCTCTAGTCCTTGCTGTGTGAGTGACATCACAATTTGAAGGATATTGTATGTTGGAACTTGACCTGCAGACTGATTGTCCTCTAATATTAGAGCATGAGGAGAATATGAGAGAGAAGAGGCAGACTGTGGCCCTGATTACACTTGGGTGGTTTGGGCTACTCCAGGTAAAGTCCTCAGTGTGAGCACAAAGGTGCATTGCATCTGCCAACATATCATACCGTAAATCCTGACCCAAAAAGAATATAATTACCTCATGAGGATCAATGGTGAGCTCTTAATATGTTTACAGTGACTGGACTGTTTCTAGTAGGTCATGGGTGCTTTCTGTACAGTACTCAGTGTACACAGTTCACCATTTGAAATTTACCATCAATGCCAAGAGCCTAAGTTCCAGCACAGTTTCTCGAAAGGGAAGGAGATGATTGATATCTCTTAACTGGCAAGGCATTATGCCCCATGGGTTTATTCTGGAGTATACTCTGTGTAATGGGAGCTGGGATAGCGCAGTCAGTATAGTGACTGGCTATGGGCCCACCCAGCCTCCTATCAAATGGGTACTGGGAGCTCTTTCCCCAGGTGTAAAGTGGCAGGGGCATGAAGCTGACCACTCACCCCCAACCAGTGCCGAAGTCAAGAAAATGTGGAGCTATACATTCACTCCCCCCATACACCTTCATGGTGTAGTGCTTAATTAGTTAAACACAGGAACAATTTTACCTTACTGTGCTTAATAAGGAGAGAAAAAGAGATATGCTCGCTCATCTGTGGGAGACAGTTCACTTTACGTGTTACAAGATGCTTGTGGCCAAAGACTGAATGCTCCTGCATGGCAGTACACCAGCAAATTGGCCACTGCTTGTGTGGCAGCATAGTATTGTAATGCTTCCCCAGTACACCATCCTCTCCTGACCTCACGCTGCATTATTCTTTACCTGTCTCAACAACTGAAGGGCCTATATAGCACAGACATAGGCATCATGTTGATGGCAGTGGAGGCTTACATCCAGATATTGCATTGGAGGAGTTTCTATGTAGTGGCTTCCAGAAATGAAATGAAGAACTCCATTAATGCTGGCAGAAATGTGCAACTACAACAGAACAATATTATAAAGACAGTTATGTACAAGAGTCTCTGGGTGTCCCTGGATTTGAGATGTGGTCCCTGTCTCAGAACTTTCTGAAGCTTCCACATGTAGCTTTTAAGTTAACTTGTGAGAAAATGGTTTAAGTTGCCTTTTCAATGTGTAGACCAGATGAGTGAGTTGGCAGCAACATTAGTTGGGCCCCCTGGTCCCCCTGGAAGAAGCAAGCCTGGCCGACCAGGGCCACCAGGACCTCAGGGATCTTCAGGTTTGATTTTATTTTAGTTTCCCTAGCACAATTCCCAGGCAGTGCACCCTCCACCATCAGCTGCTTACACATTACCACAGTTGACTGTAATAAACATAACCTTATTTGCTTACTCCTTGCTGTGTGCACAGATCGTATGGAGGAATTAGCATCTGGCCTCCGCGGGCCCCCAGGGCCTCCCGGTATAAGCAGACTGGGTAAAGCAGGGCATGCAGGGTCCCCAGGCATCCCAGGTACCTAACCCTTCCATAAAGATACCTGTTGCCCTTACTAATAGCTTCCTCTAAATATTACTCTACTTAATGTATTACAGAGTGCATGACAAAGAATTCTAATTAGAATCAGATAAAAATATTGCTAAATTGTTTGTACATATTAATTTAATCTGGAGTCTTTGTTTCTTAATATTTTTTATATGTCAGTTCTGTAACGTTTCTTCATAAATGTATAATTTCAAGTAACTTATTTATATGAGTGGGGAAGAGCTAGTACAATAATTGAAGAGTCTATCTTCTGGAATATAACATGGTCTAGTCCAATGAAAGTTAATATCAGAAGACTATATCGCCTCCATCTTTGGGGCCGAAGAATAAGCCAAAGCTAGAAACCATCGTGAAGCAGGCAGCAAACAGAGCTCAGCAGCCCTGCACTTCCAGTGGACTAAACAATGTTATGTGCCAGAAGATAGAATTCTTCATAACTACTGCTGTGAGCACCTCAAGTACTAAGTTATATGATAAGCACAATTGATCACTGTGGTCACGGTGCAAGGGCCAAGAGGGCCCACCCCTTGTACATTCAAGTTATATGATAATTGTTTTCAAAATCAAATAGCATGAAGGTGACAGAGAAAACGCCAACTATTCCATTTTTACTGAAGATTTTGTCAGCCAAGTGTTCATACCTGTATTCATATTCTGCATGGGTAAAACACCACTCAAGATGCAACTTGTGATACACCTATTTGCATTGTAATAATGTCATACCAAACACAGAACGCCTGGTAAGCAGTGGCTAAGGAGCTCGGTGTGCCCCAGAGCTAGTTCAGATGTGGTGGCAAAGAAGAAGAATGGAGGGAGGGAAAGGAATTAATGATCCATCATCCTACCTCTAGCCAAGTCACTCTTTCTTTATTATTTATTTTAACTTCAAATTGGGTTTTACCTAGTGGCAGTGGTACTACAATAAGACATAACACACAAAATAACACACCACACAAATAACACACATCACACAAAATAACACAACACTCTCAAAGAAAACACAGCACCCAAAACTACACAGACAATAAAGGACACACTGCACAATGAATACAATGAAAATATAATTCTTGTGAGCTATCCCAGCTAATGGTACTAATTACTGTATCTAATATTTGTTCCATAATCTGAAACAATGGATTCCAGAACAGAAACTCTATTAATCATATCTTCTTGAAATCCGCATCTTGTTGCACTTTGAAACAACCTCCTGCTTCAGCTGTGGAATCTTAACTGCCACTTTCCTTCTGTACTTGCAAGTGCCTTATCAAGGTGCTAATAACTAGATTTTAGCATGCATTTATTAAGAGGTTTACTTATGTTGTGAACATTGTTTAAGGAAAAATAATAAGGAAAAATTCTTCATTTTCAAATGTGAATTATTAAATGTGCAAGCTTACTGCGTGTTGTGATTGTTTTTATTTGCACTTTCATAACTCCAGGTTATCAGATTCTAAATACTTATTATTATAAATACAAATTATTTTAAACTAAATTTAATTGAAATATGATAGTAATTTGTAATGCATCCTGTTTTTCTTACTTGTTATCATTATGAATGCCGTTTAGACTATTAAAAAATTCTGATATGACTAGTAAATATGGGGACATCACATATTAATACTGGAACAGGGCTGTCACAGGTCTATATGCTACCCCAGATCACTTGAAATTCTGTCAACCTCCCAGTTAAAAGCAGATCAATTTTCTTGAAAAGACATCACAATCACAGTTAATAACATAACTTTTCCTAAGTTGCAAATTGTAGTGTAGTTGGTTGAGGCACTATGCTACAAGCTAGAATGTCATGGGTTTGGGTCCTGATGAGGTGGATTTTTTTCAATTTACCTAATTGTTCCAGCCACACTATGACCATGTGGTTGACTCAGCCTCTAAAAGAAATGAGTACCAGGAATTTTTTTTTGGGGGGGGGGTAAAGGAGGGCGGTCACATAATGCTGACAACCTTACCCTTGTTTCCACTAGGGCCCATCAGAAGAGCCCTGTTCTAAATGCTAGAGCCAGAACCTGTTTCATTAAGGTTGTTCTAATATCTGTCAGCTCCAACCATGCAGAGCTGAAGGTTCTCATTATGTGTCCAGTTAGTACCGGGCATAAGCGGCCTCCATACTCTAGGGGTAACGTTCCCACCTCATGACTCAAGGTATGTGGGTTCAAACCCAGCGGAGGTCGTTGAATTTTTAAGGGCGGAAAAATTCGGGGAACAAGTCCTCCGGGAGGGACTTTAAGCCGTGGGTCCTGTGTTGTAGATTTATTGCACATAAAAGATCCTCATGTCTCTAGGAGACCTCTGAGCAAAATTAGGCAAAATGTTTTCTGCCCAAGTAGTTTCCAATGCCTCCGGTAGATGGGGAAGTTATTGGGTACCAATGCCAGTAGAGGGCTGACCTCGCTGGCAGAAAGGGGAGAGTTATCAGGTACCACTGCCAGTAGAGGGCCAACCTCGCTGGCAGAAAGGGGAGATAGTGGGCACCAGTATCGGTAGGGTATGGAGACAGTAGAAATTAAAGGGGGACGTACAATCGACTATTAGTCGCAGTGCATGGGGAAACCCACCCCCTCTATACTGAATAACTGTATAGTACCCGGCATTGAGAAATTATGTGGTAGGAGGATCCCTCCACCTGTTCACATTTCCTACCCATAACATGTCATCTCATTGTACTGTTCCCAGTCAGCAGCCCTGTTACCAATTTACATTATTTCCTATCTAAGCCAATATGCCTCTAGGCCCTTTTGTGAAGAAATTTGACTGCCTCATCCCTGGCATGGCAACCCAATATTTGGAGTACATCTTTGTCAACTACTCCCCCAGCAAATGGTGAAACTGAAATTGCTGGTTCAGGAGTTCAGGAATGAGAAGCGGATTGCTCAGTTCCTCACTGCCAAAGCATTTGCATTTGGCTGGCTGTGAATCCTACCATCTGTGGAGATGGCCTGTATTTGTATATATTTTTGTATTATCTGCCCCACTACTGCTACTGCTGCTGCTACTACTACTACTACTACACTTGTAAGCAATAAAATTTCTAACTCAAATGGTTATCCATGCACTAATGCAGCACAAGATCTGAGGACAGAAAATCTATGTGAGAGGAAAATAGGTTCCAGGACTTATAGCCTCAGGCAGAACCATGATAGAGTAAAGTGAGGTTATGGGTCCAGCAGGGCCCAAGACTGACTGTGCTGGAGAAATTCAGTGGGAATTTACCTGACTGATCAACTGACTTGTAGTTGTATTTCTACATTTACATTCTCTTGATGTTTAAGTATTTATGGATTACAAGTATTTCAGTTAGTGTATATCTGGATATGTAATTCTCTAAAATTTGTTTGCTTACATATATGTTTTCATAAATATATTATTTATGTTTTTGTTGCCCTTGATTTAGTTTCTCTCCACAACCACCTATTTATATAGTTGCCAGAAAGGAGTACATCATAAATGAAGACCTGAACTCCTTTACCTAAAAACTGATGGCTTTGAGTAAAATAATTCTGCTGCTATTCTGACTCTCTGACCCCATCCAAATGACATAAATGATAACTTAAATCATACTGTGGTATGCATGTAGAGCTAGAAACCTCATTTATTTACTCTATGATCATGCCAAGATTTTCACTAGCTTTTACTTGAGGGATGTATATGAGATATATCTGTGTGCAGGTGATCCTGGACCACCTGGACTGCAAGGTGAGAGAGGCTTCACAGGGCTGCCTGGTGTGCCAGGACCCCCTGGTCATTCTGGTGCACCAGGAGAACGGGGTGATAAAGGGGATAGGGGACCAGAAGGAATCGGCATTGAGGGGCCTATGGGACCACGAGGATTACCAGGTATGGCCCTAAATCTATTTTACACGACATTTACAAATACCAATCAGAATGGCAAATAAATCATCTAATAATAATAATAATAATAATAATANGTCGCTTATTATCTCCATGGAATATGGCTTTAGATTCCTTCTCTGAAACACATTGAATGAGGCAGAGCTAAAATCATGATTCTAACAGAAAATTAGACAACCGAGCATTCACAAAGCAATTGAAATGCTATCAAAATGCTGGTATTTATCAGTTTATCATGCTGTTTATAAGGGTCTCAATTGGGTTCTGCCTGAGCCTCTTGAATCCAATCTACATGCACACATTTTGTTTTGAAAATTCTTTTCATATTATCTTTTATAGCTGTGTCTCACAAATGGTTACTTTCCTTCAGGTTGTGCAAGCAAAATGGGACTTGCATTTCTCATGGTCCCCGCATATGCCACTCTCTAACTGATATCAGCCACCTTGAATTGATAATACTAATAACATTTGGTTTGGAACACAAATTACATTAAACTCATAATTATGCACTTTGACAAATATTCTCATATGGTTCTGAAATTATGTTGAGAAGAAATAAGCATTAACCAAATTTTATGAGGTATTCTCCTGCACATATAGAAAACCACAAAATAATCTCTCTGGCATCAGTCCATTATATCAGTTTTTTAGACTTTCAGAGAATAAGAGTCATGTGTGCTAATCCACTGTCAGAGAAAGAGTGGGCAAACTTCTAGGATGTAGCCATGAAAGAGAGTCAATATTCTTATGCAGAACAGAGTACAGAAGACAACTCTGAATCTGATAAAAATTACTGAGCTGATAACTTTTCATTTCTTGAGTCACAGATGTGTTTTCTAGTAAATCAAGTTTATCATGCTGGCTATATCTTGTCCATCTTGAGTTGTAAGGACTTGGCAAAATGTATTGGATACAATTTATAAGAATGTACTAGACAAGAGATGTACCCAGACGCATAGCATTTACGTACAAATTTTGAATATTGAAGGGAAGTCCACTAACAATCCACAAGCTATCGCAAGTGCATTTAATGAATATTTCCTTTCATTAGCTGAGAAAACATATTCCAATAATAATAATAATAATAATAATAATCCAATATACTATCTGTCTCGTGCCTTTAACAATTCATTTCCAAATATCAATCTCAAATTCTCAACAAGGAAGGAAATTGAAAACATTATTAAATCCCTTAAGCCCAAAAATTCACATGGATATGATGAAATCTCTACCAAATTACTTAAAGCAAGCTCTGTTTACATCAGTTCACCCTTGAATCATCTATGTAATAAATCTTTATCATCAGGTACTTTTCCTCAACGCTTAAAATACGCTGTAATGAAACCACTTTTTAAAAAAGGAGAGAGAAAATGCATCTCTAATTACAGACCAATATCCATATTGACTTCATTCTCAAAAGTCTTTGAAAAAGTTATGTATAATAGACTACTTGAACACTTAAATTCTAACAACATATTAGTCAAAGAGCAATTTGGATTTAGGAAAGACCTAACAACAGAAAAAGCAACCTATGAACTAACTAACGATATTTTAAGTGCTCTCAATGACAGATTAATTGTGGGAGGGATTTTCTGTGATCTAGCAAAAGCTTTCGATTGTGTTAATCATGATATCTTACTATCGAAATTAAATTTCTATGGAATAACTGGCAAAGCTAATGAATGGATCAAATCATACCTCAAAAACAGGTATCAAAGAGTTGAAATAAATAATAAAAACTCCAGTCATAATGCATTTTCAAACTGGGGAATTATAAAGCACGGTGTTCCACAAGGATCAATTTTAGGTCCCTTACTTTTTCTTCTCTACATAAATGATCTATCTAAAACCATCAACAATAAATCTAAACCAATTCTATATGCAGATGACACTAGTATAATATTTAAGAACTCTAAATTTGAAAACTTTAAAAATGACATAAATATTGTATTTGAAGCCTTAAACAGATGGTTCGAAGCCAATTTACTCTCATTAAATTTTGATAAAACCCATTACATATCATTCACAACTAAAAACAACCACCAAATTGATCTGGACATCAGTTATGCCAACAAATTAATCTGTAAAGTACTTGATACAAAATTCCTTGGAATACATGTAGACAGTACACTGTCTTGGAAAATACATATTGAACAAATTATACCTAAATTAAATGCAGCTTGCTATGCGATGAGATCAATTAAGCCTTTTATGTCACAGGAAACATTGAAGATGGTTTACCATGCCTACTTTCATTCTATTATGAACTATGGATTAATATTTTGGGGGAACTCTTCACATAGTGTAATAATTTTTAAAATACAAAAGAATATAATAAGAATCATTACAGGATGTAGAAGTAGAGATTCATGTAGAGAATTATTTAAGAAATTAAAAATTCTACCGCTTCAATCGCAATACATATTATCGCTTCTCCTATTTGTTGTTTACAACAAAGATAAATTCAAATTAAATTCTGATGTCTATAACATGAATACTAGACAAAAATATAACTTCCACCTACCCTCATCAACTTTATCAGTATATCAAAAAGGAGTCTACTTTACTGGCATAAAAGTGTTCAACAATCTGCCACAAAGTATTAAAAACTTGGGCAATGATACTAAAAAGTTTAAATCAGAGTTAAAGAATTATCTACATGCTCATTCCTTCTACTCTTTAGATGAATACTTCAATGTAAATAGAGAATGATGTAAAATTAAGTTATATTAATTTTTAAGCTAAAATTGCCTGTACTTATGTATGTAACCTTTTGACATGTTCTGTATCCAAAGGTACTAACCTGCTTAGGATTTATAGAATGTAAATAAATTCAATTCAATTTCCTGTGTAATTATATATGCAAAATTCATGTTACTGAAGTTGTTTGCTTCAACTATGTTTAATTTATGTAAAAATATAAATTCTGTGAATTTGATTTGTTTCATTCTGGTCCGTCACACTAACAATACCATGAGAAGTTAAACAGTTACATCTAGTGTGACTGGTGAAGATTTTTCTTATTTCAATTATTTATGCCCTTACATGTTTCGATCTTCAGAGACCATCATCAGAGAGACACCTTTACATCAATACAGTTGGAAGTTACTATTACAATATATGTTCTGAACGTTAAAATATATACATATAATATTAACAATATACAATTGGGTATAAAATCTGAAGTATTTACAACTACAGCAGCTGTTCCAGTACATTAAAATATTTGTAATTGGTTTGTTAATATTGTATTGGAATTTATAAACCAAGTAGGTTTATACAAACCTACAAACAAACACATACAGGACAACATCAAAGAACCCTCTTCTCAAGAATGACAAGGCGGCACATGTTCGGCCCCCATCAAGAGAAATAATAAGAAAGACGACATGAACCTACTTGGTTTATAAATTCCAATAAAATCTTAACAAACCAATTACAAATATTTTAATGTATTGGAACAGCCGCTGCAGTTATAAAAATTTCAGATTTTATACCCAATTATGTATATTATATGTATATATTCTAACGTTCAGAACATATATTGTAATAGTAACTTCCT